CATCTTCTTCGTCCTATCCTCTCCTCTCTTCCTCCAGCCGCCAACGATGTTGTTGAGAAGGAAAGATTAGCCCAGCGCCTCCGCCTCCGCCGCCGCCTCTGTCGCCGCCTCCGCCTCTGCCGCCGCCTCTGTAAACCATCTAGTTCTTCATTGATTGGAGCTGGGAGATCGACGGGACGGGCTTCCCTTACTGGGTTCGCTGAAATCAAGGATGTGATCGCCGTCTGCAAGTGGGTTTGTGAGAATCTGGGCACCCGAAGGATTCTCTTGGTGGGTTCCTCTGCAGGTGAGTTTCATTTCCTTCATTGTCTTACACTCTTACTGTTTTCCTTACTTAGGGTCGTCCGATGGATGAAGATTTAGTGTTTTGGATAGTCGTTCGTGGATTGCCCCTTTTGATTATTCTATGATCCTTGATTGATTAGATCTGCGATAAATTGGTGCTGGGATTTTGCTGTAGATTCATAGTAATTAATGTTCTCAGCCTGCTGATAGTGTAGCCTTTTGTGTTGAATCTCTGCTTTGTGTTAAGCATTCTGTTCGTTTGATCTGGACTAGTTTGAGAAACTCTGCTTGTGGTGTTGAAGCTATGGCTTCCTATTTTCACCATCATTTACTTGTGAAAATGTTGGTCTAGTCTTGTCAGAACTCAATAATTCCTGGTTGTAATCAATGAAGAACTAGATGGTTTACAGAGGCGGCGGCGGAGGCGGAGGCGCTGGGCTAATCTTTCCTTCTCAACAACATCGTTGGCGGCTGGAGGAAGAGAGGAGAGGATAGGACGAAGAAGATGAAGAATGGGGGTTAGGGCAGGGGTTAGGGCACCCGCTGCGTTTTGTGGGTTTTTTTTTCGTCTTCAAATTGAGAAAAGACCTAGGTGTAAATTAAATGGGCTAGGTGGAAATTAATTTTTTGTTCTTATTGCTGAGTTGGCGGTGACATGGCGCGTTGACCGTTAGTCAACGCGTTTGACCGTCGAAGTTAACGGTCAAAAGTCTGATTTGGCCAAATTGTTTACTTTGGTGTATAGTTCGGGTCAGAATGTTATAGATCGAAAAGATTGGCCAGGATGTTTACTTTGGTCAAAGTTCAGGCCATACGAAAATATTAACCCTAAAAAAAAGAATAATTAAAGCAAAGTAAAAATAAATAAAAATTAAAAATAATGGGCTCCGTCCTTTTCCGGGTCGGGTGCTTTGCTGGCTCGGGTATTCAGGCTGATTCAGCCTTTCTGTCGGCCCAGTCAGATTTTCCGTTTGCCACGTCATCAAAAATCTGACGCCGTTAACGGAGTCTGACGGAGGCTGACGTCCAGTGGCTACGGTGAAATGTTTCGTAAAGTGAGTGACCAATAAGCAAGGTTTGTAATTCGGGTGGCAAACGTGAAATATTTATGTAATTTGGGTGACCAATCGTGTAATTCATCCCTCAAATCTCAATACTCCAAATCTACCCTTACTCCCATAAAAAAAAAATTGTGCCCTTACTAAATGATTGGAAATTCACTAGACCGGCAAATAGGGGTGGGCAACGGGACGGGACGGGATACCCGTCCCGTTTGAAACTGATAGAACCTGGGATTAGGGTTCTATCGAGAATTGAGGATTTAGGGATTAAGAACAGAATTAGGGATTTGAGATTGGGATTAGGAGAGGAAGAACAGAATAAGAATCGGCCGAAGCCTTGGATTTGGGACGAAGAGAAATTAGGAGATACGGGAAGCTTAGGGTTTGGGAGGATAATTCTTTAACTGATTTCTGCTTAATTGAACAAAAGACCCAAAGTACATATATATAGCGAAAGACTGGAAAAACCTAATAGACTATCATAATATGACTCAACCCTAATAATAATTATCCTACCATAATTAATAATAGAAAACTCTAACAACCATGTTTCTATCATTCCCTCCCCCTTGAAACCAACCTTGCCCTCAAGGTTGCCCGACTCTACCCACTTCTCCACATTTCTTATGCTATCTGCGCCTTGACTTCTCCGTTTCTGGCGCTTCCTTTTCCTCCAATTGTGCTCCACTACTTGCACGAATCCCACACCAGCAACTTCGACACTCATTGCTTCTTTCATACCCATGTGGCGCATGCCACACCCATGTCCAAATGACTTTCCTTCCACCTTTTCAAACTCCACAAAGTAAGAACCAGAAAGTGGTTCCTCATTAAGCCCACCATATAAACCCACACCTTTTTCTTTAAAGTCCACACCATAAAGAAAACCAACCAGAGGACTCATTTGTGGCCCAAACCCTTTATGGTGATGCAATCCATCATATCCTTGAGTTATATTGAGTCTTCCCAAACTCGGCCTGCATATCAACCATTGTTTGGCCCATACTCGTCCAAGTTTTGGCCCAACAACCATCACCTCACTTGCCAACTTGTGGCCCAAACCGCAACAGCTTCCCTTCACAAATGGGCCAAACGATTTGAGCCCATTTTTTACGGTTCTATCTTCTTTCTCCAACAAACCAGCCACTCCCTTTGGCCCAAGTAAGACATTGGCTGCAGGAGAAGGGGCAGGCCCATTCGCTTGGCCCAACTGCTCCTGTTGTGCTCCTTGGCCCAAATCAAGCGAGCTAGGGTATGCGAGAAGAGAGCCCCAGCCGCCACCAACCTCTTCCTTCCTTTTCATCTTACTCGAGACGCCGCCCGCCATCGTCGTCTCCTTCTCCGCTGACCAGCGATCCGTCCGGCGGCTCGCCCCCTCGTCCCGCCGTGAAGGTCGTCGCTCCTCCACCTGCGCCGGCCTCCTCACCGACCCGCCGTCCCCCGTCGAGCTCAGCAGCGCCTCCCACCGCCGCGCGGTCACCACCTCCGCTGCCTCTACCACCACGACAGCCGCCGCCGCTGGCGGCGCTTCCGCCTTCGCAGCCGCTCTCTCTTGCGCCTCCTTGTTCCATCGGGCGAGAGTTTGCTGCAGTAGCTCTTGCAATTGAGACCACTCCAGATGTGACGAGCTCATTCTGACTTTGGGTTGCGAAGTAATTGTCCCTGGTTGAGAGTTATGACGAACTCGTTCTCGGAACCGGGCTCTGATACCAAATGATAGAACCTGGGATTAGGGTTCTATCGAGAATTGAGGATTTAGGGATTAAGAACAGAATTAGGGATTTGAGATTGGGATTAGGAGAGGAAGAACAGAATAAGAATCGGCCGAAGCCTTGGATTTGGGACGAAGAGAAATTAGGAGATACGGGAAGCTTAGGGTTTGGGAGGAAAATTCTTTAATTGATTTCTGCTTAATTGAACAAAAGACCCAAAGTACATATATATAGCGAAAGACTGGAAAAACCTAATAGACTATCATAATATGACTCAACCCTAATAATAATTATCCTACCATAATTAATAATAGAAAACTCTAACAACCAGGGGCGGAGCTAGGTGGAGCCTCGGAGGGGCCCCGGCCCCCTCGAGAATTTTGAAACTAGGTACAAAATCTCTTCGGATTGTGAAAAATTACGTATAAAATAGATGTTAGAATATAAATTGCGTGCGCAATAATCTGATAAGAAACTAAGGGGTGGACGAGTGGTAGAAGAGTTGATCTTTCAAATTGAGTGTATGAGTTCAAATCTTGCCTACAGCGAATTAGTGCCCATTTTTGCCATTTTCAAGTTGTGAGCATTCTCACCTAAACTACAGCAAATTAAAAATGAGCTACATATTGAAATACATGATTAATTGTTTGAAAATGATAAAAATGAACGGGTGATAGATTGGAGGTTATTTTGCTATTTCAATATTGAATTAGTGCCCATTTTTTTGCCATTTTCAAGTGTTATTTTGCTATTTCCATATTGAAATAAGCCAATAAATCGTTTGAAAATGATAAAAATGAGCTACATATTGAAATACATGATTAATTTTTTTCGTAATTTAATAATTTGTTTTGACCATATCACATAGTAAATATTTATCTCAATTCTTGTTTTGTTATGATAATAAAAATTCTATAAACTTTTTTTTGTCATGGTAAACTAAACAACTTCGGCCTCCCCGAAATTCAAATCCTAGCTCCGCCCCTGCTAACAACCATGTTTCTATCAGAAACGGGTACCCAATCCCATTTATAAAGGAAACTTCATCCCATGTCCCGAACTCGTATGGGTTAACGGGTACCCGTTACCCGTACGGGACGGATAACGGGTACCCATACTACCCGTATATACCCGTTCAACGGATGGCAAAACCTAAAGACCAAAGAAGTTTAACACATAATTAAACAATTGACGAGAGTTAAAGAGAAACCTACTGTTTAAGCAACACCAAATTAACATAAAAAGAAGTTTCTTGTATATATATTTGAATCTTTTTAGCCCCAGTACCCTTGTACTTTCCTTTTTCTACCCATGAAACATTTTATTATAAGTTCACCACAATTAACCCCATCTTTCAATACATGTTACACTATCTAATTTAACTATCTAATTTAATTACATGCATTACAGACAGTACCAAAACTCAATTCTTTCATGCACCCCTACCATTTTATTATAAGTTCACCACAACTAACCCCATCTTTCAATACATGTTGCACTATCTAATTTAACTATTTAATTTAATTACATGCATTACAGACAGTACCAAAACTCAATTCTTTCATGCACCCCTACCACCAATATCACGGCTCAAATCTATCAATATATATCACCAAATCTCAATAACAAGTACTTACACAAACGGGATTAACGGGTACCCGTACTACCCAAACGGGTATTAACGGGTAACCTGCAGGTACCCAATGTAGAAATTATTGATTCCAAGTCCCATCCCGTATAAAAAATTATGGGTATTTGGGTACCCATAACCCTCAAAAAATGGAGCGGATATGTGTATACTCAAATACCCGTTTCCCGTTGCCCACCCCTACCCGCAAACCCCTTACAAACAAGCTGGTTTCACAATGGGCTCTTCATATTATTGATGGACTCGGATTCAAACGAGGCTTTTAGTTGTTAAAGCTCGAATGTCCAGCCATTGCAGGCCTGCTCGAGAAAGGGCGGTTCGGCTTCATTTCTGCTTAACCGGAGACTTCCCGGAGGGAAACCAGAAAACGGGCGCAGAGGAGAAACCCGGAGAACGAGAAAACGTTTGGCAATCTGAACGTTTTGAAACCTTTCTCCAAACCCCAAACTCCCGCGCTCACTTCACTCTTCGAAGTCAATTTCTTCCTTCTTCACTCCAATTCCTAACTCGCAGAAGAACCCGTAGCTTTGCTTCACTAATTCATCCATGGCGCATCTTCCGATAGTTCAATTCGAGGAGCAGATCATTAGAACGGTGGAAGACAATTCGGTGGTGGTCGTCATCGGAGAGACCGGTTCCGGTAAAAGCACACAACTCTCGCAGATGCTGCACCGCCATGGCTACTCCAAGCGAGGAATAATCGGCGTCACTCAGCCTCGTCGAGTTGCTGCTGTCTCCGTTGCCAGGTTAGGGATTCAATTTTGTGAACTTCATAGCCGAAAAACGCCATGTTAAACCTTTAGAATTCAGTATTTTGACTGTTTTTGCTTAAAAACAGACGAGTTGCTCAGGAGCTCGGCGTTAAGCTTGGGGAGGAAGTAGGTTACGCGATTCGGTTTGAAGATAGGACTTCAGATTTAACGCGAATCAAGTAAGGGAAGCTGTAATTGGTCTGATGGTTGTTCGAATTCTCGTGTTTCTGCCTGTGATTGGTTTCTTACTTCAGAGCTTTTGTGTAACTGTTCAGATACCTCACTGATGGAGTCCTTCTCCGAGAAAGTTTATCGGACCCTGAGCTTAGCCATTATTCGGTCATTATATTGGATGAAGCCCATGAGAGGAGCTTGAACACGTAAGTGCTGCAATTTACTTATATGGTGATGCAATGCGACTAAGTTAAGGTTACAAACTTATGGAGTTGTATGGATTCATTGTTTTGGTTTATACATTTCTCTTCTCAGAGACATTCTATTGGGTCTGGTGAAGCGATTGACTAAACTGCGTGCCTCCAATTTGAAAGTTCTGATCACATCTGCAACTCTGGATGGGGAGAAAGTATCTGAATTCTTTTCCGAGTCCCCGATTCTGAACGTCCCTGGAAAGCTATACCCTGTGGAAGTAGTGTACAGTAGGGAACGTCCTATAAGTTATACGGAATCTTGCCTGAAAACAGCTCTAGGTATGATAATCAGACTTTCTCTTTATCTGTTTTGCTCATGATGTCTTCGTTGTACACATGCATTACCTGAAACGAATTGAAGCAACATGAATCATTCGTGTGAAAATAAAATCCGGAATACCGTATACTAATTTACTAGTTCTAAAGAGGAAGGTAGTCTTTTTGCTGAAGTCTTCATTCAACAAGTCATGTTCATAAGGTTACCTTCTGCGCTTTCTGTCTGCAGATATACATCGTAAGGAACCTGAAGGTGATGTGCTGATATTCATGACCGGACAGGTGACGTTGAATGAGTTCTGCCCTCTTAAATAGTATGAAGTGGAGTGCTGCGTATTGATTGGAAAAGTCTGATTCAACCTTATGCAGGATGATATTGAGAAGCTGGTCTCGAAATTGGAGAATAAGATTCGAGGCCTAGAGGAAGGTTCCTGCATGGATGCAATTATCCTCCCTCTTCATGGTTCTTTGCCACCTGAAATGCAGGCAGGGTTTTCTTTATTTCCTTTTCCCTTCTCCTGTGAAGTCAGTTAGCTTTTTATTCTGTCTTTGACTTCGAGATGCACATTTTCTATATACAGGTGAAAGTGTTTAGTCCTGCTCCTCCAAATTGTAGGCGCTTTATTGTTGCCACGAACATTGCTGAAACTTCTTTGACTGTTGATGGAGTTGTGTAAGGAGATCATAAAGTACCTCTTTTGTTCTTGTTCTTACCCTCTGTTTCCTTCACTCCTCTGTCTCCTTGTAATATGATTTTCTGGTTTATATTATTGATAATCGCAGGTATGTTGTTGATTCGGGTTATGTAAAGCAAAGGCAGTACAATCCATCAACTGGCATGTATTCTCTTGATGTTGTTCAGATCAGCAAGTGAGTACTTAACTGCTGAAGCAAACGTCTATTCCTTCCCGAGTACTTCATTCCTGACACTGCATGAAAAATTGGTCTGGTTTATGCAATCCTTTATTTTGTAAGCAGCCTTCGATGAGGATCAATTTTGATAGGTCAAAATCTGGGTGGGGGGGGGGGGGGGGGGGGGGGGAGTTCTTGTAACCTTCATCTTCTTTTTCCATGATTATGCTATTTGTTTTCTAGAAAGAAAAAGTAACGGAATAGAATAAGAGGCAGATGATTGATATAGACATAGGTCGTGGCTGTGATGAGTCTTTAGACCAGGCTACTCGTACTTAATACTCTTATGTTAGGAGTCGATTGAAAATTGAGTCTCTTAATACTGCACTATTTGAAGGCCATGAAGGCCATCCTACCATGTTTACTATGTTCTGTTTTCTTCTCACTAGGTTGACGGCACTTATCTTCTTCTATGAAGTAACTGTGCAGAAATTGATTTTCAGTTGCAAACCACATGTAAACTTTTGAGTTTCTTTTGTGGCAGAGTGCAAGCAAATCAGCGTGCAGGGCGAGCAGGGAGGACGCGCCCTGGAAAGTGCTATAGGTTATACCCTTCCTTAATGTATCAAGATGAATTGCTCGATGTGACTGTCCCAGAGATACAGCGAACTTCACTTGCTGGCACCGTCCTTTACTTGAAGTCCTTGGATCTTCCTGACATTGATATTCTTAAGTTTGATTTCCTGGACCCGCCTTCTGGTAATCATTCACTTTCAGTTCTTAGTTCCCTTGCTTTCCCTTACCTGTTAATGGAACAAACTTTATCTCATTAGCTGCACTTGTGCCATAAGAGTTAGAGAACAGTGATGCAACTAAATGTCTGTACCTATTACTGCAGCTGAGTCGCTAGAAGATGCTTTAAAACAACTGTATCTAATTGATGCAATTGATGAAAATGGAGCAATCACAAGTATTGGACGGACAATGGCTGGTATAAAAACTTCATCCTTTATGTTAGATGATGATGCTTTATTTTGAGGGTTCTCTGTTTTGGGATCTCTGAAGGATGAGAGTGGGTTGAATGTGGTGTTCTTACTCTTTTGTTCCCCCTCCTGGGAGTTAAAAGGATGTCATACTTTATGAAGCAGAAGCTCATACCCGGTGATTTTGTGCAGAACTGCCGCTAGAACCCTCACTTTCCAGAACATTATTAGAAGCAAATGAGAACGGTTGCTTATCCCAAGCTTTGACTGTTGCTGCTATGTTATCTGCAGAAACTTCATTGCTTCCTAATCGAAGGTTAGTTCGTGTACTGAATAGATCTGAGGGCTCTTTCTTCTGAGTTGATAACTATTCTTTTCACCATTTTAAGCAGAGGCACACTAAAAGTTGACTCTTTGGTTCTCTTTCACTTTTAATGGATTTGGATGTTGCTTTCTCGCTCATGCTGTCTTGAGCAAGTTTTCTTAGCACGAACAACATTGGCATCTACAAAATACCCCAACACCTTTCGATTCAGAACACCTGTTTAATTTACTGATGACTGATTTGTTTGCATGCAGTAGCAAGAACAATGAAAAGAAGAGGAAACAAGAACCTGTAGAACTCCCTACTGGATCTGGTTATGGTGATCACATCCAGATGCTACAGATCTATGAGCAATGGGATCGGAATGGGTATGACATTAGGTGGTGCAGAGATACTGGCTTGCAGGTATCAATCCATTGCATTGTAGAAATATCAGGAGTCCAAAAATTAGACCCGGTCTTGGATGAGAACTTCTGCTATAACAAAGCATAGGCATTATTGTAGCTTCTTGTGCTGAAAGGCATAACAAATGTTGATTCCTAAGAACTTTGTATCTTCTTTTGAAACCATATAATCCCTTTCTGAAGTCTTAACATTAATGTACTAATTCTTCACTTGCCTGGACTATCTGTAGGAGCGAGGAATGGTGTTTGTTAAAGACGTCCGGAAACAATTATCTCAGATTATGCAGAAAATTGCCAAGGGTGAGTACTTGTCTGTCTACTGTGAATATGTTTGATGTTGTGAGCTGATTTCATTATTTAGATCTCCGATTCACAAGGCAGCATGATGTAAAGTGTTTGTTGTCGTTTATGCAGCAACTAGCGAGCTACTTGAATTTCTATCCTGAGCTTGAGTGTGATATCTATTAACTGTTCTCAGCTATTAAAGCTTTCAGATGTGTCCGTTTCAGCTGAGAACAAAAGCTACTTAAAACTTTGGAAGAAAAATAAATTATTACGAAAAGTAAACGCACGCACTCACCATGTTTCATCAAGTAGGGATTGGAACTAGCTTTTTTAGCTCACTTTATGTCTGTGCAGGTTCAACCGATGTACGAGCCAATCGAAGATACCGTGAAAGCGAACATGATTATAGGAATTTAAGGAAGGCCTTGTGTGTAGGCTACGCAAATAGGCTTGCTGAGAGAATGATTCAGCACAATGGTTACAGAACTATAGGGTTCAAGCCTCAACTAATTCAGGTACGGAAGCCTGTCCATTGCTTTTTATATGAGCTCTTAGGCTTTTAGGCTGGTATTTGGTAGTCTATTGATTTTTTGCCTGAACTTGAGTTTGAAGTTCCCTCATGTTTGTTTGTCAGAGTGAGAATGGTTGTTCTGTGTATCCTGTAGAGTGCATGCATAATCCACAAAAAACAACTTGAGGTCTAAACTATAGCCAAATCAGCATGCAGTCAAATGGTTAGTCTTTGATCTGGGATAACAAATTCATTCACGGTTTCAGGTACACCCTTCTTCAGTGCTAAAAGCTGACGATGATGGAATGTTCCCAAACTATGTTGTCTATCATGAGCTTATCGCCACTTCTCGTCCATACATGCGGAATCTCTGTACTGTGGAGATGAGATGGGTCTCTCCCATTTTCAAGAAGCTTGAGAACTTGGATGTCAGCAAACTCAGGTAGGCTTACCATAATAGTTTGAATGGACACATATAGACTAAAGCTTCTGTGATACGCATTTGTCTAAGTTTGTTCTGTTATTCCCTGCACAGTGGAGGACTTCATCGTGATGTAAGAAACGGAGAAGGAAAATCCTTAGAGTTGACGAAAAAAGAAAATGTTGCTGCTAGGACTCCCGACGACCATGAGAGCAGAGTCCTGGCTGCTCGTGAACGGTTTCTCGCTCGAAAAGCACAGAAATGAGTTTCTCTCATCATTCGTTTGCCTCGAGTACCAGTCATTGATACAAGGACTCGTCAAAGTGAAAAGCTGCTAGACATCTCTGGAGTCTGAACTAAGCTTAGCTTCACCTTTCTGGTAGCTCGTGATCCAAAAGCCTCTGAGCGCTAGAGTTCTACTTGCACAGTTACACTAGTAGGCTCCCGCATCTGTCTATTTTCGGCCGTATTTCCCCCATGTATGCTTTCATTAACACTGGAACACTAAAACGAATGGCAGTGACAGTGAAGAACAACTGCTGTAGAATTGTATTTGTAGCACTGCCAGATTTACAGAGATCTGAACTCCTTGCTGATTACAACTGTTATTGCTTGTAACCAGATGTTGCAAAACAGGAACCCAAAGATGATGCACTTGCTGAACTTAGCATGGGAATCATTAGGAAGCCTGTTCGCAGAAACCTTGTTCCATTTTTATCTCCACTGCATAGTAACGTTCCATGCTTTCAAGTTTCATCACGGCCTCATAGGGAACTTCACAAGGGTTGAAAAAGTTGGGATGGAAACGAGTTGCAGAAACAGAGCCAGCAGCAAGCAGTACAAAACAAAAGCTGCGCCAAAGAGCACAACAGCACCTCTGGACCTCAAACAAACACTCCACAGTTCCGCAAAGCCATCAAGAAGGCATCCGACAGAAAACGATCGCCGCATCATCCAACCAGCAATCCATTAAGGAACTTCTTGATTTCCCATGAGCCACAAGCCAATCCAACATCAACCTAACAATACTACTCCGACGAGTGGCTTGCTTGCTGAGAAATTAACTGGTTTCTCTTTGGCCACAGCAGGCAGCAGACAACATGAATGACACCACTCACCAATACTTTCATCCTGTGAGTTAACTTTGAAGTGGTGGTACTGAGCTGCTTATTTTACCAGCGTACAAACATGCAAAATCAAGCACTTGAATTGATATTAATTGATACAATTCCTTTGACAATAAGCAGTCTACAGCTGCAGATAGCAAACTACAAGTATTGAACTAAAATTGGTGGGGTGATTCTAGAAGAAACGACCCTCCAAAAATAAACGTATGCCTCTGTTAAGCAGCACGCACACGGTATTCTTTAGTAAAAGGCGAAAGAATAGTTCGCTATGTGCTCACTGCAAGGCTGCGTGCTTTGGAATGGAAGGGATTGCTTGCATATTAACCAGAGCTGGTGATCGTCTCGTGCATGATTTGGCGATGTGGTAGAATTGCTTTACTGCTCGAGATAGAGCTTGTTGTCTGTGGGCTTCGCTTCATCGTGTTATAAATTGCCCAACTTATAAATGGGTTTTCACTTCAGCTTGGGCCCGCCAACCTTACTACCACATACCATTTTGCGCCCAAACCATAGGGTCCCCTTGAAACTTGAATCAGTCCAAGCCCATTAATTTTCAGTTTTCTTTTTCTATAGGCCAAATACACTTGTATAGTGAAAACTTTAACAGTTTGGTCAAATATAGCCACTTTTGGCGAAATATCAAAAATAGCCACTTCCGTCCAATTGTTTGACGGTGTCAAGTAACAGGCTGACTGGACTAACGATATTGTTGAGTTGGCAATCGTTAGTCAATTAAAAATGTGAGGTGGAAACTAATAATAAATAAAATAAATATTTTATTTTCTCTCTCCATCTCTCTTCTTCCCCATCTCTCGATTGTTCCATCACCGCTGGAGATCGCCATTATCGAAGGCATCAACTTCCTCTCGTCGCTGCAAATCTGGATTTCGGAAGATGGATCTTGAGAGCGTCAAATATGGGTTTCAATCGAGAAGATGAAGTCAGGGAAACAGAAGATGAAGTATGGGTTTCAATCGAAGAAGATGGAAAAAAAAACCCACCACCCCAATCCTCCTTACCTCCTCCGCCCTTCGTCTCCCCCAACCTTCTACCTCCTCAGCCTTGTACCCCCACCCCCACCTCCTCTGCCATTCATCTCCATCATCCCTCCGCCCCCAATCCCTACCACAATCCCCCTCTGCCTCTTTTGCCCTTCATCTTCCTCAACCTCCGCCCACAATCCCACACTTGGTGAGTACCGGAACAAGCCTGACGAACCCGTTTCCTCCGATGGCAGCGTTTGACTAATGGCAAGATTGTCGGCGATTAAAACGGCCTCTCTACTTATACCGCAGCGTCCCTCGAGTTGCTCCTGTAAATTTCAAAAAATAAAAACTGAACTTTGCGGCAGGGACGCAAGTCGCAGGGATTCGTCGAGGCTTTCTGGCGATGGGAGGCGGATCTGGGGGTGCTGAAGTCAGAACCAGAAACTCTACAAGGGATCGTCTCCTTTGGGTGGAATCGAGAAGGCATACAGCAGAGATCAAATCCCTAATCTCCGCCGCCACCAAACCCATAATCCCCAAATCCCCTCCACTGTCACCTCTCCGCACATCACTTCCTCATCCTCACCACCAGCGAAGGAGAATCGAGCGCCAATAGATCCCCGCGGCGAAAAGGATGGAGGATCTCACTCGAATTCCTGGCGGCGGAGGATGAATAGTTCCTGGCGACGACAGCGGCGCAGGGAAGCGGTGAGAGATGAATTGATGTCGATGGATTGGGGGATTGAATTTGGTTTTGTGAATTGATGATTTTTGTTTGCAGATTCATGGTGGGTTTGAATGAAGGCATCGAACCAAAAATGAAAGAGTTTTGGTTGACGGCGGGGGAAACAAGGATGGAGGACGGTGACTCAGTGAGGGGAAGCGGGGCAATTATTTGGATTTTTTTTATAATTTATTTTTTTGTTAATAAATTAATTAAATATTTTAAAATATGACGTGTCATGTGTATGTGGCAAGTATTGGTGAGTTGTCAATGATGTGTCAGATGAGTTGGCAGCCAGATCATCGTTCTGTTAATTTGACTAACGGTGTCACTGACGCCGTCAAACTATGTAACGGAAATGGCTATTATTGTCATAAAACTTTCAAATTTCTGGCTATTATTGGTATTTCTCCAAAAATGACTATTATTGTCACAACTGTCAAAGTTTTGGCTATACAAATGTATTTGGCCTTTTCTATATTGAAATTCATTTTCAGTTTTCATCATGACTTTTTTTATTTTTTCTTGGAATGTAGTATATTCAAAGGTGAAGTTGAGTTTCTTTTGCTAATGGCCTAATGTCATGTGTAGACGTTGCAAATATTGAACAAATTATTATTGTGGAATATGGAAAAACAATAATCATCATTAGATGATGAGACTCGGGCTCATCCTTGATGGTTTACATTTGCACAAGGTTGTCAACCCGCGGGTCGATCCACTTTGACCCTGAGCCGGTAAGAAAAATGGGTTGCACGCACCTGCTGGGTCGACTGCTACAAGGTATCGGGTTGGAGGTCAAATTGTGTCATTTTTTTCTTTGGTTTGCGAAATGCGCCGATTTTCCAATTTTTCTTTTCGCCTAACTCAATCTTTGGAATCCTTAGTTGAATATTTGAATATTGATGTTATATAAGTGGGTGAACTTTTATTATATGTTGCATCTAAGTACGACATGTTACTTTGGTGTAATGTTATATGTTATTACTCACATGTTAGATGATATTTGATATAATTTATTAGGATAAGTACAATATAATGACTATTTCCATATTCCTGGACTAAAACACGTACCATTGACCCACTAGATCGATCGGGTCCGAGTCAACCCTCGTGTTGACAACCTTGCATTTGCAAATTGCATCCCATGACCATGTAGTGCCTCAAGGTGTGTTCTCCAATAGCCTCTTGGTCTTAACAAAAATGAGATTAGTTCATTGAGTGTCATGTTTTGGTTTTTTCTATAAGCAGTTTTATGAAGACGTTTATTAATAACACTCTTCTATTTGTAAAAGCAAACGTCATAGCTTTCGAGATAACAACGATGGAGGTTCAAGTAAAGTTCAAACACACTATATTTTAATTGCAAATTAAAAAATTGTTCACATTAGACTCTATATATGTAATTATGAAATAGAATAAACATATCACATTGTATCTTAAATAGCTAGCAAACTTACTAATGAATGCTTTAAAAGGGGGTGTTGGCATAAGTCATTTGGTGGCAAATGACTCGTTTACCAATCAAAGGCAAAACGAGTAATTTCCAAGTGATCATTCCCAAAATCACTCATTTTTTAGTCACTAGTTTCAATATTAACTTTCTTCTTTTTTAATATACCGAATACTAACCCTTCTCTATTTTGTCTCTATAAATTCAATATTTTTCAATTATTATCAAACAATACTTCCCAATTATTTCATTAATAATTTTCAATTATTTATGGTTAAAACCCAATGTTATTAATGCGAAGACCATGGTTGTCACGCCGGCCGGCGTGCCACCGGTTGTACCTGGTTCAACCTGTATAGGTCATAAAACTGGCGTGACATCATCGGTATGACCGGCATGATCGATATACGAATTTATAAGTAAAATGATCTTATTTTTGTAAATTTAATTGGTAAAAATTGTTTTATTATTTATTTTATGAGTATAAAAGTTAAATATTGATGTTATTTGTTGTAGTCAAGTATAAATGTTTAGGTATTGACATTAAATGTCATGCTTAAATATGAGTATTTATAATTTTATTTGTAATCTTGACCGGCACAAACCGGTATGTGCCACCGGTCGAACCATTCCACTTACTAAACCGGCACACTGGAATAAACCGGTTTGACAACCTTGGCGAAGACCGATTTTCAGATATAGATTAAGTTTGTTAATACCAGGGTCTGTCTCAGGGTTGGCCCTCTATTAGAAAATGGGTCTCACACATTTTTCTAAATTAAATTTAGGAGTTAGCTTGGATTCGTCAAACCCGTTTATACCCATTCAGAACCCGGCACACCCGACCAGGTTGACCGACTTTACTAAGTGGAGATCTCAAAAGTCATCTCACCATTTGAAAGACGTGAGGCGATTCAGGAGGGAGGGAGGAAAAGAGAAAGAGAGGGAGTGATCTCGGGGTTGCCGATCGGAGATCTCCAAGTCGTCGTCGGGAAAGAGAAACTCCAAGGCACTGCTGCTCTAAGTCATCCAAAGCAATAGATTCAGTTATAGCTATTTAGCAGCAATCACACAAGTAGGAATTTTGCTGAAATCATAGCAAGGAAGGAAGGAAGGCGATTAACTGATTCTCCACGAGAACTCAGCCATACAGCAACCGAGTCCTGAAATGTGATTGAATTTGCTTCCAGTTATTTTGACTACTTCACAAGCCAAAAAGAACTTTGAATGGTGCTCTTCATTTTTTTATATAATACATCTCATCTCCCCATCAGCCAAAGTTTCTGCCTTTCGGTAGCGGCGAGCATTGAGGAATGAAGAAGTGGATAGTGTAATTTTTCCAGATCATGACGAAGAGAACTGGGTTTTGAGAATCATTACATCGGTATGCTGAAACAAAGCTCTACAGCAAGTAAATAGACTGGATAGAAGAAATAACTTCGGAATTGCAGGCAGAAGCTCGGCTCCAAATGTCGTATTTCAACAAGATACAGAGATGAAGCCTCAGAAAAACAATTGGACTGTAATTGGTGAGGTGCTTCTTTAGTAAAAGGTGAAAGAATAGTTCGCTATGTGCTCACTGCAAGGCTGC